CCAAATTTTCAACATTTATGTAAAACGAGATGGAGCAGGTTTTGCTTAACATCAAAATATTTTTCCTAACTTTAAAATACATAACTTTGCTGTTATCGATAAAATACAAAAAAATTCAACAGAGTTAATTTTATTTATATATAAATAAAAAAAAAATTCAGCAATTCATTCAACTCAATCTAAAAAAATATTCAAAACAAGCAATTTTAAGATAACACCATATGTAAAACAGTCGGCCAAGAAAACAACAACGATATTACATCTTTCTCACATATTCACACACAATCTTGATTAATAATTAAAACTAATCTTTAGCATTGTTTATTATACTTCATAATATATAATATTCGTTAGGCAAACACTCTCTCAGTTAAAACCCGGGCGAAGCTGGGTACACATCCGCTAGTATACTATCTATAAATAACACGCATCAAATAAATTTAATGTTTAAAATATCCAATTATTTATATTGATAACATGCGTGACTCGTGAACAGGAGAATCGAGGAGTTAAAAGAATCAAAGAACGAAAAGAATCAGTTCAGAATCAGATCGGGAACTTGCTACCAATTCGATATTCCCGAATGAATCGTCTTCCAATCTTCGATTCTTTCGATTCTTCGATTCTGTCGATTCTTCGATTCTTTCGATTCTTCGATTCCCGAGAATTGAAAGGAGTGGGAGTCAGAAGAACCGTGATTCTTCTTCGGGAATCGAATCGAAGAGCGCTCTTTCGAATGAGTGAATCAAAAGAATCGATTCTCGATTCACTTGCCCACCTCTACTACACCCTGGATCCAGAAATTAACTCCAGTAAACATATTGAAGAAGTTATTAGAAAAGGAAGAGACCGACTAAAAATCCTGAAATATATTTCAGGAAGAGAGTGGGGAGCAGATGCAACCACACTAAAATTAACTTACACATCTCTAATTAGACCTATCCTGGAATATGGATATCAAATCTATGGCACAGCATCTGAAACAAATCTAAAATTACTGGAAAGGATACAACTAAGTGCAGCTAGAATTATTACAGGTCTTCGAAATACCTGCCCAAATGATATTGTACTTTACGAGGCAGACATTATGCCATTAAAGGATAGAAGAAACTACAATCTGCCAAAATATATAAACAAAATCAAGAGTTATGGAAACAAACACAAAACTTCCAATTACATTCTTAATTGGGAATCCAATATAAGACTAAAAAAAAAGACCCTCTCCACCTGGTCAAAAGAAATGGATTTTTAAAATATAAAGCGGAAAAAAATTATTTAGGAGAAAAAAATATCTCCATATCACCACTACAAAATGTTATTTTTAATGCCACTTTAAATGAACCCACCAACAAACAATACCAAAATTCAGAATACTTAAGACCATTATCATTAGAAATAATTAATAACATTCCTAAAAATGCAATAACTATCTATACCGATGGTAGCAGAGACAAGTTAGGACACACTGGCAGTGGCTGTCTCATCAAAACCACAAATGGGATTGAGAAATTTAACAGAAGAAACCCAGAATTTTGCTAAGTCTTCAGATCAGAACATATAGCCATCTATGAAGCCTTAAAATCCATCAGAAATACTAATTATCAAGATTTCTGGATTCTTACTGATAGTAGAAGTGCCATACAACACTTGAGTCACACAGGAGAACTTAGAGACAAAGTAAGCAGGAACATAATTGGTTATCTTCAAAAACCTCAAAAATTCACCTTCAATAGATACCTTCACAAGTTGGCATTGAAGGCAATGAAGCTGCTGATGCACTAGTGAAAAAAGGCACAAAAGAATCCTTGCCACAGAAAAATAAACTTACTTTTAAAGAAATAGAAACAGTAGCCAAAACAAAAATAAACAAGAACTGGAGGATCCCACCTTAGCACAGTTAGTACATCCCTGGAGCAGATGGCCACCCAGACCTTACGGTCCACAAGCCGACATGCAAAGCATGCCCTTAGCTGCTATCATGTTCCACTCGTAAGCCAAGTAACGGTATCCAAGCTAGTGCTTGGACATTGTACCTGGAAAAACCACCTCCCAGATGACGAGTCTGGAAGGATTTCTATACCGGTGGCCTTTAGTCACAGCAAAACAGTAAACTGTCTACTGTGTCCAGCAGGGACCGCGGGGAGGCGGCCACCGGTCGACCCTGTTCACTCACAGCTGAGGAAAAGCTCAGCTGCCACGTCGTGAGCCCTCTCAAGAAGCTTGCTGTGATTTCTCAGCAGCTTGATCTCGATCGCACCCCTCGCCCTCCTTCTCTCTTCCTGCACACCTACCACCCTTGGGCAATCCAAGATGTAGTGGTGTGCGTCTACATCCCTTTCTCCACAGACGCAATCAGGATAGCTTTTAATCTTAAATCTGTTGAGACTCCTGGGGAAGGGCCCAGGTCCCGAAACTACCCTAATAAGTTTGTGGGACATTACCTTACAGAGGTACTTGGGTATTGTTACCCAATTGAATACCTCCCTCCCCTTCTCACTGTTCCTCCATCTGTCCAATCATAATTCCTGGACGTGCCCCTGATCCTCTTATAAACTTCTTTCTTGGTCACAGGGGTCCTCACAGATCTACCTCTAAAGCACCCTGCTTTAGCGAGCCTGTCTTCGAATTCAATACCTTCGATGAGGCTGTGACCCCTAACCCAATGGAGATCTGGAGCCCGCGACATCATCTCCAGCTCCTGGACGATTTGATGTGCAAGTTGCCCCTTCTCCTGATTGATGGTGACAAGAGCCGACATGCAATCTGAATAGAGGCGGTCCGGGCTCAAGTTCTTCTCGGCACACACTCTGAGGGCTTCCCTGGCCGCAACCAGCTCGGCTGAATAGACCAGTTCGTCCACTCTGAGTGTTAGGCTTTCTTGTAAGATCAGCTCCCCATTGGTGAAAATCACAACCCCAGCTCCAGTATTGGTTCCAGACTTACTCCCGTCAGTGAAGACCTCCGTGCCAATCCCTGTTGGCACTCCAGGACTCCAATTCCACTTTGGCAACCACTGCGGAGGCTTCCTTGTGTCCCTCTTCCATTCCAGAGCACCTGCTTCAAGGCCCAGGGCGTCTTCCCTATTTTCCCAAATTTCCTGTCTGATGGCCCCCTCCTCTAGTTTCAAACCTAGGAGAATGAGCCCAGCGAGGACCAACAAGGCCTCAGTGCTGGTGGTGCGGTATCCCCCTGTGATTCTGAGTGCCGCTGTCCTCTGCACTCTCTCTAGAGTTGTCGCCACCTTCTGATCTTTATTTCGGCGCCACCAGGCCCTAGAAGCATAAAGCAGGATTGGCTCGACACAGGAAAGGTAGAGGTACCTAAAGATAAAACCCTCCTTGCCCCCCTTGTTGAGAGCTAACCGCGACAGCCTGCACAATGCCTCTCTACCTCTCGCCACCATCTCCTCCGCGTGGTATTGCCAACCCCTCTTTTCATCAATAACCAACCCCAGGATGGTCATCCTGTTGACCACCAATACCCTCCATCCTTCCATCCGGATAGCATGGCACAGTTAGTACATTCTAGGAGCAATAGTTCCCCAGGCCTAGAAGGCCCATAAACCGAATACCTTTGCTGCCACCAGGTCACACAGCCAAAAAGAATGATGCATTCTCCATGCACCGAGCGGCCTTTGGTAGGCCCCTCGCGCCCGCCATTAAGGTCTGGCTCCATGGGGTTGACCATTCACCCACAGGCGTCTCCGAGAGTTCATTGGCAAGGTTGCTGACCGAGCCCTCTCGTTCGGACTTAGTTAAACCCGTCCTACGCTCCAATAGGACTCCCCCCCCCCCCCTTTAGCCCTCGTACCCTTATCCAGTACTCCCTGAATCTGCCATCGAATCAAGGACCTCTGAGGCACGAGGTTTACGCGAGGAACCTCGTGAAGGCGGGGGGGTGGTACTACTGTGTGCACCCCTTGGTTTTTCATGGCGCGCACGACAAGGACGCTCCCAATGGCGCACACACAGAGCGAAGACCCAAGAGTTTCAAGACTCGTGCGTCTCACGCCAGCTAACCAAGGGCCGAAGCTAGCTTACAGCTTCACCAACTCCGGCCAGTGGCACTCCGACGCAAGGCAAACACGCAGAGACGCCTCTCCACTCACTCCCCTCTAGAGTGATTGTAGAGGGTGGGAAAACTTCTTCCCCACGCACAGTTAGTACAGTGGAGTGTACCCAGGAGGAGCTCTGAACATTAGAAATAGACAGCATCAAACGACACTAACAAGATTTAGAATGGGCCATCTCAAGCCATTGAAGATAGAAAATAGCAAAATCTACCCCACTTGCCCAAAATGTAGCTTGGCATCTGCAGCTCCAGAACACATTTTGGCTTGCATTAGATGCGCTAAATAGGACCTTTGGGAGAGGCCGCTGCTTATCATAAAACAGCTCGAGGAGCATGAACTCCCCTGAGAGCATCCAGCCTCTCTGCACACAACAAAACTACACTTTTCTTTTTAACAAAACAAGACATATGCAAATTCTCTATTATTAATTAATTTTTACACAATAATTTACATATACATATATATTATAAAGGACTGCGACGTATGATTATAAAGCAACACTTAAAGTTTCACTGCATAAGTTTCTTTTTTGTGAAAAATCAATATTAATTTCAAAGAGAAATATGTACTATTTCTAACTTTTTGGATGACGTATGAAAAGGTTGAATATATGAAGAGTAATGGTCTATATATGATTGGATGACGTATGAAAGGGTGAAAACATGAAGGGTAATGGCGAACGGAAAAATAAAAGTGTCCAGGGGCGGGAATCGAACCACAACCTTCTGCTTACCGGGCAGATGCCATGTCCACTAAGCTACCCTGGACATATTTTTCCGCTCGTAACTAATACTTAAAAGTAACTTATATTACATTATAAAGAAACTTATGCGGTGAAACTTTAAGTGTTGCTTTATAATCATACGCCGCAGTCCTTTATAATGTAATATAAGTTACTTTAAGTATTAGTTATGAGCGGAAAAATACGTCCAGGGTAGCCTAGTGGACATGGCACCTGCCCGGTAAGCAGAAGGTTGTGGGTTCGATTCCCGCCCCGTGGGTTCGCCATTACTCTTCATGTTTTCACCCTTTCATACGTCATCCAATCATATATAGACCATTACTCTTCATATATTCAACCTTTTCATACGTCATCCAAAAAGTTAGAAATAGTACATATTTCTCTTTGAAATTAATATTGATTTTTCACAAAAAAGAAACTTATGCGGTGAAACTTCAAGTGTTGCTTTATATACATATATATTTACAAATTTTTTATAATTAAATTTAAAAATACAAATTATTTAAACAATTAAATTTACAAATAACATAGTATCCTATATTTAATGAAAAGATGATCAGCTGTAACAATCGGCCCCATGATCATCATTTCCCATGATTTACAACATGATAGCTATATTTACACAAAATTATAAATAGATAGAATGAGATAAATAGGACAACACAGTGAAGGAATTTACAGATGATGCAGAGTCCCTTGTCGACTAGTACAAGTAGTGGACTTCACACTCCCTCCTGCTTCGGGTCCAGTCTTGTCTGAAGATGAGTTTTGAATTAATTTGTAGATAGTTCATCTCCAAAACAGTTTCTCTATGAAACGACTTAGTTTCTTTTTAGATAAAGGTTTAGTTAGGAAGTCAGCTAAGTTTAAATTACTATTAACAAATTTTAATGTGAACTCTTCCTCCTCAACAAGTTTTCGAATGAATTGTAGTCTGATATCAATATGCTTGGTTTTTATATTTTCTACACTATTCTTACAGAAATATATAGCTGACTGATTGTCACAGAATTGAATAGGTTTTCCCACATTAGGTAGTACGTCTATTTCTTTTAATATATTAAAATACCATATTGTTTCTTTTACACTTTCAGTTAAGGCTATAAATTCGGATTCCATAGAACTTAATGCAATACACTTTTGTTTTCTCGATTTCCATGTAAATAGGGTATCATCTAGATATAGTATGTATCCACTTGTAGAGTGTCTATTGGTCAAATGCCTTCCCCAGTTTGCATCAGAATATGCATTTAAGATGCCTCTATTAACATTTGATAGTTTTATTTTATAATGTTTTGTCCTAAAGACATAATTCATTAGATCTACAACGATTTTCTAATGTTGATATGTGTATCCATTACAGAATTGAGCCATTGTGTTTATTGAAAAATAAATATCTGGTCGGCTTCTGTCTGCAAGGAAAGATAAACAACCTATTATTGATCTATATGGGTATTTTCTCATGAGTTCAGTCTCAAAAATTTCATCTTCCTTAATTTTTGGTGGTAACCAGCACCCTGTTTTAAAAGGTAAATTTACCAATGTCTTAGGTAGATCTGTAAAAATAGTTATAAGTCTGTTTATATATGTTTCTTGATGTAAGTATATGCCCTTGTCTGTAGTTTCAAAGTTAACTCCTAACAGATATTTGACCTTTCCTAATTCCTCTATATCTAACTTTTCTTTAATAATTTGAATAGTTTTTCCAATTACAGATGTTTCTATTCCAAATAACAAGATATCATCAACATAAACTATCAAGATAACACTATATATTATTCATTTTATATACACAGTTGCACCATTTAATGGTCTCAAATCCTATTGAGTTCAAAATTGAATCCAATTCTTTATTCCATTCTCTTCCACTCTGATGTAACCCATAAATAGTCTTTTCTAAAAGACAAACTTTATCTTCACTACCTTTTAGTTTGAATCCATCAGGTTGTTGCATGTAAATTTTTTCCTTTAAATTTCCATAAAGATAGGCTGATTTAACATCTAACTGGACATGCTTCCATCTTAGCAAAGATACTAATATTATAAACAGGAATCTAATTATTGAAAAATTTACAACTGGTGAAAAAATGTCAGTGTAATCTATTCCATATTTCTGTCTATAACCTTGTGCTACAAGCCTAGCTTTATATCTTTTTATATTATTTTTATCATCCCTTTTTACGCTATATACCCATTTATTACCTAATATTTTCACACCTTGAGGTGGGGGATCTACTAATTTCCATACTTTCCTATCTTTCATCACCTTAAGTTCATCCTCCATTGCTTTAACCCAATTCCTTTTTTCCTGTGATTGTTGTACATCATTAAAGTTTTTTGGAAGTTCTACATTATAGATTTCCTCATGGAAAATACTTTCGTACAAATCATCTTCTAAACAATTTGTTTCTTTTTTAACTTCATTCTCCTCGCTTATATCTGGTTTTTGTGGTCTAAATGAAAACATTTCAGAATTAAATTCAAGCTTTTGTGTTTCACAATATTTTTGTACATCATTAAATGATCTTAATTTTTGATCACTAGAAGGGGGTAATAGTATACATCTACTCTTGGTCCTGTCTTTCTAGGTACTTCTAGTCTTTTCCATTTAGCTATGTCTATTGGGGTAAGTGTATGTAAATTATGGTTATCACTATCATTATTTTCATAAGGGTAGTTATCATCCTGTGGATAAAAAACATATTGTACTCTAGAAGCAGTACCAAATAAAGTTTCTACACCTTTCTTAGTTTCATCAATAAATACATGAATGGTTTCTATTACTTTTCTATCTGCTGGTAACCAGATTCTATAACCTTTTGTTTTGGTTGCATAACCTACCATTATGCCTGAATTGGCCTTAGGTTGTAACTTATTTCTTTTCATTTCAGGGACATGTACATAAGCTAATGAGCCAAAAATTTTAAAATGTCTTACAGATGGTTTATGTCCTGACAATAATTCCATTGGACTTACTCCTTTTGTTAGAGCATGTTCACATCTATTTTTAGTATATACAAAGGTATTTAGGGCTTCTGCCCAGAATCTGGGTTGTAACCCACTATCTAAAAGCATTGCTCGAACACCTTCAATAGCAGTTCGATTAAACCTTTCAGCAATTCCATTTTGTTCAAGACTATAAGTTGATGTTATTTCTATTTTAATACCCAAATTTACTAGAAAATTTTCAAATTCTTTGTTACAGAATTCTAATTCATTATCTGTCCTAATACATTTTAATTTGGCATTTAGTGCTCTCTCAGACTCGTGCAAGTATTGCTTAAAATAGTTAAAAACTTCTGACTTTTCTCTTAGGAAATAAACATTAACCTTTCTAGAGTAGTCATCTATGATAGAAAGAAAATATCTACTGCCACCAAGTGATCTCACTGGTGCAGGACCCCAGATATCCATATGCACTTTTTCTAAAGGTTTTCCAGTCAGAATTGTATAGCTAAATTTAAATGATGATCTGGTGATCTTAGCTACTTTACATATATCACATGTGGTTGGATTACCCTGAACTTTTTCTAATCCTTTGACAGTATTCTTTTTACTCATAGAATTAAGTATTTCTGAATTAATATGACAAAATCTCTTATGGAGAAAATGAAGATTTGAGTTATAAGAAACTGAATAATTTTGAGCTTTGGCTCTATTAGGGTATCCATTTACAATATATAATTTATCTACTCGTCTTGCTGTAAAGAAATATTCTCCATTATTTTTAAAGATTGTCATTTTACCGTTTTTCCATATAATCTTATTTCTTGCTATGTCTATGCATGATCCACTAATGAGATTCCTTCTCATGTTTGGTGCATATAAAACATTAAGTAGAGTTACCTCTACAAAGGTGTTATTAATGTCTCTTAAAACAAAGTTGATATCTCCCTTACCTAAGATTGTTGACTTGCAGTCGACATCTCCAATCAAAGCGTCCATCGGGGGGATATCCTGATAGTTCACAAACCAATCCTTTTCTTTGCAAAAATGATATGTAGCTGCGCTGTCTATCAACCATTCTCCCCATTCACTAGTTGGATCACTTGCTCTTTCACAAATGTGGTGAAAGCTTAGAATTTCTGAATGAAATGCAGAAGATTTTCCCCTGTAGTTCTGATCCTTTCTGTAGTGTTGATATTGAGAGTTTTTGTTTCTAAGGAAACAGTCTTTTAAAAGATGGCCAGTTTTCCCACAGAAGGAGCAATTTCTTATATCATGGGTTCTTGCTGTTCTTGGATGCACTGTTTGCTTCAGCATGCTTCCACTGCTATACTGTGCTTTTGCAGAAAAATAATTTTTCTTTTTATTTCCTTGGTACATCCTGGGAGTTTTTGTTTGATAAGCATTTTGCCACAATATCAAGTCCATCATCTTTTTTTCTTTTGTTGAACTCTTCCCGATTCAGTTATTAAGTGGGCTTCAATGTTTTCAACATTGAATTGTTTTTCTTCTAGTCTGTATAGAACTTGGACAATGCCATCATAATCTTGAGGTAATTTCCTTATCAACTGAAAACACACAAGTACTTCAGGTAGATCAAATCCAGCTTCTTTAATCAGTTGTTTTTTCTCTTGGACTCTTTTAATAAATATTCCAATAGTTTCTTCATCAGGAGTAAATTTCAGTTCATAAAATTTGTCAATCAAACCAGCCAGTCTGGCCCTTGAATTTGGCTCAAAATTCTGCTTTAATATATACCAAGCTTCTTTCCCATCAGCAGCATTGGCAATCAAGGTTTGGTATTTTCTTTCTACTCCTTGGTAAATTGTAGTGAAAGCTCTATCCTTCCTCCATTTGAACTCTCTAATATCTTTGGCTGTTGCCTCAGCTGGAAGATCAGGTTCATCTTCTATGATAAAATCCCAGCTTCCTCTATCAATCAGAAGGACCTTCATATCCACTTTCCATATATTATAGTTAAAAGCATTCAGCTTAGGAAAAGTGAAATTTGTATCAGTCATTTTCAAACTTTTAATACGGCCCCAAAAGTTTAGCCAATTCTTTTTTCTTATGTTGCTATAGTATTCAGCTAAAAGCTTGCAAGTAGGCCCATAACCTTTGTTGGGTGGAAGGTAGGACAGATGACACACACACCTTTTAAAATATCTTTTTTTTTTAATATCTGAAGCCCTGAGAGCATCCAGCCTCTCTGCTCACAACAAAACTACACTTTTCTTTTTAACAAAACAAGACATATGCAAATTCTCTATTATTAATTAATTTTTACACAAGAATTTACATATACATATATATT